GATGTTTATCAGGGAGAGGCCACAGAATGGGATTTTAAACAACTCAATGAACTCTTACCTACACTCCACAAATATACTATATGCACACACACGCAGAAAATATTTCTGTGTTGTGATTCACAACAAATATGTAACACGTGCATTTGCACAGAAAAAAAAACTATTACTGATGAGGAGTCCATGGGCCATGGACGAGGTGCCTGCACCCCTGAAGGGCCATGGACAGGGTTTAAAATGGACCTCTGCAAGTGTGTAATTACACAAGCGGTCCAAATATATTTAAGGCAAAAATACTGCGTTACCTCATCTAAACAGTTTGTGCTTTGGGAGCTTTTTGGAGTATTTTAAATACAATTATCTGAACAACAATAATACGACTGCTGTGCATTGATTCGTACTTCCAGACTGTCCAAGGAGGTTAAGCTCCAGTTTTGGTGAAATTCTAGGCATACACTGTACCCACACAGTTTGTGGCTGTAGGTTGCTAACCAAGCCATATAGGTTTAGTTGGAAATGTAGGAATCCAGCATGGTGACATTTATCCTTTATATGGAAAGAGGTTAAAAACACTAATTAATATGATTTATGTAGGAAAAATATCTACTGAATTAATTTAAATGTAATTAATTAAAAAAATGTAGGATGGGATGAACTCATGCGTGCATCTGGATGTATGGAAAAAACTGTGCAGCATAAATCCATCAGAATAATAAACGTTCAGTTGGAAATCTTCAGCAGACCTTCACTATCCACACTGTCTGTACATTATCTGCTCTCCTGATGCTTCTTATCAAGTTTTATAGCCATTACAGTAATAACAACATTTAACGAGACCATTCACCAGAAATATTTATGGTTCGTGTCGGTATCAGGTTGCACAGATTTCACATATCTCTTGTTTGAGTTGTAGAGGGGAAAAAAAAGGTTGTTTCAGGTCTGTGACCTCAAAACACAAATGGTGTCACCGAAACAAACACACAGCTGTGAGGCGTATCTGAGCTCACCATCCAGCCGTAAATCTCAGACGAGCTTCTGACGCTGGGCAGGATTTCCATCGGGATGTCAAAGTACCTGAAAGGAGCATAGCAGGAGTCTGTCATGAGGTTTTAGGTTTATGATAAAAACAAACACAAAGGCACTTATAGTTTCTCTTTTTTTTTTTTGATGAGGTCTTTGTTCTATTTTCTGTCCTGTTGTTCTGTGTTTTAATCCCCAGATTGCTGCAGATGAGGAAGAACAGACAACAAAGGAGAAAGTGGCAACAATGTGACTTTAAGAATGTAGCTTTTCACACGAGGTTTCTTTAAACTTTAAATATAAATCAAATCAATTAAAAACGAGGCAGACATTGATCGGATGCCAAGTTAAGCCCGTCCAGCCCGTCTCCAAGGGCAACCTGCAGCCTCAACGTAGGGGGCAACGAGGATTGGCCTGGGCAAACCACAAGCAATCAAAAGCAAACTACATGAGAGCGCCTCAGCAGTACAGGAAGGATGTCCGGTGTAAAATCTTTTACAATCGAATATATGACTCAGATTATTTCCTTACTGGGATGGTTAAGTCTGCATGAAGGCACGTGAGCCACTTTAGTAACCTCTAAACAGAGCAGCAAGATGAAGAAGAAGAAGAAGAAGAAGAGAAAGAATCATGACTGAAATTAAATCTGGAGGATGAGTTCGACAAAACGGAGCTAAAACAGAGTGTTTGTTTCTCTCTCACTAAAGCTGGAGAGCCGACTCTGAGTAATCAGGTGAAGACCAGTCCATTCTTTCTGTGCTTTTATGACTCAAAAGAAATAAAATGTATTGGTGCAGCGTTTTTTCCACTGCTTCAACGCTCAGCCAACTGCATAAAACAAGAGATGGCTCATTAACTCCCTCAATGGGAAGCGAATGAGCTTTTACTGGAGTGTGCAAACAGATACGCAGACGATAACCTTAAATGCTTTATTCTGTGTGTGACAATTAACCAGCAACCTCCAGGGCTAAAACATGAAACCAAAAACTGCAGTTCCTTTAGCCGCCACTTGAGACTGCATTAAAAACTTAGTCCATCCCCAAAACATCCAATTTTACAGCAGAAATAAAGACATAACATATGCATCACTCATCTGTTTAAGTTGCAATAAAGTTTGCATTATTAGGGGTGTGGCGTCTCTGACAGATGGATGGCGACACAGGTAGCTGTAGCTGCTAGCTCTTTGCTAGGCTTCACCCGGCCTGAACTAGACCTCTGTTCTGTGTTTGTGCTGTTGGAGCCTTTTATTACCTAATATTTAATTCAGATGAATTCAGTTGTTATTTAATGTTATTAACACTAATTCGTTGGCTCTCTGATGCTCTTATATAGTTTGTTTGCTAACCTAGCTAGCTAGCATTAGCCAATAACACAGCTTTTCAGGCCCTTCGTGCAAATATGGTCACTCTGGCGCCACAATCCAACATGGCAGTGGCCAAAACATTTGGATAGGCTGTGGCACCCATCCTTTATATACAGTCTATAGTGTGCAGGGTATAGTGTGAATCACCTGCAGAGTTCAGGATCCCAGTCCATGGTGTGAATGTTGAAGAGCATGGTGCGACTGGCGTTTGAAACGTCTGTACAGTGGACCCCGCCGTTCTTTCCCCCTGTCAGACACTGGGGGGTGGAGGGGTGGGGGTGTTAAAAGAACAAATCACACACTCCTGACAGAAGTAGAGGTACAGGTTCAGGTCTTACCCAGATGATCCAGGAGTCCACTGTGCCAAACATGGCACGCTGGCTCAGGAAAGCCTCATGCACCTCGTCCACGTTGTCCAGCAGCCATCGCAGCTTCACTGCACTGAAGTAAGTGCTGATGGGAAGGCCTGTTTTATGCTGTGGAGATTAAGACAATAGAAACAGAGATCAGAAAGATATTTCAACAAAGAAAGCAAGAGTCCCGCATTCTTTCAGATTTCTGATTCAAAGTAGATAACAAAGTCACTACTACACCCCCAACTGTTCCTCTGACCCACACAACTTGCCCTGATTAAGCTGTTACCAATTTCTTGTCAATCATCTCTCACCCTGAGGTGGTTCTTGTTTCTTCCCGGAGCTTTGTTAATGAGCCTCTCTACCGTCGACTGAGTACGAAGGTCCAGCCAAACTAAACACAAAGCAGGAGAGGAGAAAGATTCAAACACGGGAACCCAAAACATTGGCATTAGTTTTGTGAGAAAACAGCAACCTTAATATGTAGTTGTAGATCTAAGCTTCATAAAGACTAACTCTTTAACCAGAGGCCAGGCTGTCTCATCGTAATGAATAAAAATTGAGTAATCAGGAAACATTTTCCTCAGTTTCTAAAGAAATGGCAGGAATGAGGAGGACCAGCTGAAGTTTGAGACAACACAAGAACTTTGTTTAACTAATCACGCTCCTTACAGCCCTCTGACCTGATCTTCATTTAAATTCTGTGGTTAAACCTCAAAGAGGATCCAAGGCAACAGAGCTCCAGGTCTTTTTCAGGATGGATGAGAAATGAGACTCTCAGCTCAGCGTTCCCAGGGTTTGTTTGAATGGGCATGGGCATAATCCCAACTCTAATTTTAGCTTCTTTATTTTTCATCTTTCTGGAAGAACAAGGCCCTCCACAATGTATTAGTGAACAATGTCCTTGCTTTTATTTTGAAAGATTGGTCACTATTAACCAGCTAAACTTGAGCCCTTCCTGTCTAAGGTTTCAATGTGTGATATTTTATTATATATACACACTTCTACTAGCCAGGCTGGTGCAGCTGTGTGGTCGTTTTCACACATGAACTCTGGAGCACGCTGTAGAACCAGGTCGGGATTTTTCCCCAGTTGAGCTTCATCACACAAAGCACAGCAGGAAAGTAAAACGCCGCTTTGAAAATACAACTTTTGCTAGAGTGAATCCCGCAGGAGGCAAAACAGGAGACCGTGTGGACTTTGTATGAGCAAACCAGCACACTATATTCTGTTTAATTTTCAACCTAACTTGGATGTGGGAGTTCTGCACCTCTGATGATGCTGTGGTGCATTTTTTGAAAATGGCTAACATTAATCTGAGAGCCCGACTTAAACTTCAAGTTATTGCAAACTGCAAATAGATAGTAAATTATCCCAAACAGAGCATATCAATAAGATAGCTGCTAAAAACAGGTTGAAATCAGGTTATATCATCAGACCCACTACTAACACCAAAAACCAGGAAAACTGGATTTAACAACATCTGTCTGTCAGCTTCTGATCACAGCGACAAACTGACACAATGAATCTGGACTTATTGTTACTACCATTCTACACATTGTCATTGTTGTCATTGCAAAAAGTGATTGCCGGTATTTAGATTGAAGAGATTTCTTCCTGTTAAAAGGGAGTTTTCCCTCCCCACTGTTACCATGTGCGTGCTCACAGTGGGTGGTATGATTGTAAGGTCTTCACCTCACAATATAGAGAGATTGAGGCAACTGCTGTGGTGATTTGGTGTCATATGAAGAAAAGTGAACTGAATATATTTTATATATGACTCCATTGTAAATCCTGTTAACTGCAGGTTATTTTCCAGCATGAACGGGGATATTAGACATAAAAAAGCCACATAAAAACATCTGCGTTCACTTTTTGGCCCAAAACCTGGTTAAATAATATGAAGGTGACACACCTTTTGAAGAAAATTGCTTTTCACGTGCCTTTTCTCCTGCTGTGAGAACATTTTTGTTAAAAAAAACAAACTTTGCTAGCTTTTGTTGGCTGTTCGTAGCTCAAGCAGTGCTCCGATCAGTGAACAGCTGACACAACACCCCCCAGTCGAATCAGGGGACTGAAGAGCTCGCTGATAAACTGGCTTTTTAAACTGAAAGCCTGTGTGAGTGGGAGTGACTGCTGCTGGATCACAGCTCTGATGGTTTTTGGCGGGGCAGGAACAGACACGACACAGGATGCTTCAACCTGATGTAATCAAGTCATGCCCCGAGTCGTTCCCACATTACACAATCCACTTTTTCACAGCTCGGTGAGTCTGACACCGATGTAGAAATCCTAAAATACTGCTGCTGACGCTCTCACCGATGGCGTTGTAGAGCGGCTCGCCGGTGTCTTTGTCCCAAACCAGGGTCGTCTCTCTCTGATTGGTCACTCCCACCGCTGGAAACAAAAAAAAAGATAAATATCAATGAATTTGCCCCGATGCCCTCATTTTCTACCCCCCGTCTTCCACCCGTCAGCGTCCTACCTTTGATGTTGGAGA